TTAAATATGAGCTAGAGCTTAGATCTTGGTTTCAATCAACTAAGAGAAGCAAATGAATAATTAATAATCTTCGATGTGATTATTACATATCATATACCATGGTCTTTATATTTGAGAGCAATTTGATAGACTGCAGTGCTTTTGCTCGATTGACAATTGCTTAGCCGACAATTTTTGCAATTATAACTAAATGCTCCACATTCAATAATAGAAAATACTTAATGCACACACTGTATAGCTAAATGTGTGTGTGCGTGTGGGTGTGTGTGTGTGAATGAGAAATGTGACTGGCAAAAAGGCAAACAAATTTTACGTTGATTATAATGTGTGGATGATTTATGAGATGAATGTGGGCAGGGGCTGTGATGAGGCAGTGGCAGGCGGGGGTTGAGGCCTATGTTTGATGACGAATACAACATGTAATTCGCATATACATGACAAATGACTTGCCATTTATGGGGTTGGCAACAACAGCAACAACAACAACAACAAATTGTGACAACGTTGACACAAATAAAAAGAGCCAAATGTATCGATAATCATTGTAAAATCAGAATCGAAACTCATGAGAGCCAAGCAACAACAACAATTAAACCTATGGGAAAGGGAGAGAGAGAGAGAGAGAGCGAGAGAGTGCTGCGTTTGTATAATATTTTAATGACAATTTGCAATGATTATTTTCATGTTGCAACTGTTTCACTTGCCGCTGTTGTGGCATGCCCCACAACTCGGCCTAAACACTTAAATTGTTTGTGCAGCAAAAGATAGATGAAATATTGAGTGTATGACACTCTCTATAAGAATGAATAAGCTGGACCAAGATATATCCAAGATATATTTAGCATGCATATTTTCGAAAAGTTCCTTTCATGCGGTATGTTGGCCTCGTTGCCCTCTATTTGACCTCTGCTTGAATTTGATTTCAAAAAGTTTTTGTTTTCTGACTCTTTGACGAATTTCTGGTCAGCTTCATTAATCCATTTGGCCATTAGCTGCCATCAGAACGTTGATTTTTGAGGGGCACTGTGCTATGACGAAGATGATGAAAAGTTGCGCAACTTGAAAGTTTTTCATATCAAAATCTGGAAAATAATTAATAACCGTCTGGGAAAAACATTTGTTTATGTCTTGTATAGGAAATGAAGAATTTTATGCAAATCTTAATGAGGGCTTTAACAGCTATATGTATATGAATATAATGTTCAAGAGTGATAAGTGATAGAATTTAAATTTAATGGATTGAGCACCTAAAATAGAGATGAAAATGTAATGCCATCAAGAAAAGAATTTACGAAAACCCAAATTCCTGCATCTCTCCAGTTTCATCTCCATAACAATCGTCTATATCTTACTTCATTCAGTTAGTTTTATTTCTTCAATAAATTAAAATTAACTTAAAAATGAAGCACTTACAATTGTGGCCTTGGGCTGAGCTAACTTCATTTTCAATCGAGGGTACAAAACGAACTTTTATTTGTTTTGCTTGGCTCAACTTAAATTATAATTAGAATTAGTTCAGAGTTAACAAAACCAAACTGTAGACACAGGTAAATTTAACAAGCACACACACACTCACACATACATACATACATTTTCAAGCCTTTGCTTTGATTGTGAGTTGCACATTTCAGGATTCACCTCATCCAAATGCCAATTTGCTTTGCTATTGCGGTCATAAGGGTGTGTTGTATGTGTGTGTATGTGTGTTTGTGTGTGTGTGTGTGCCTGCTTGGAGTTGAGAAACCTTTTTACAATTTATAACAGATCTTGTACAATTTCCTACTCATGCTCTGGGGGCCACGCATACTTCCGCCTTTAAACAGCAACATTGTTGTTGTTGTTGCTGTTGTTGTTTGTTGTTGCTGCTGTTGCTGTTGGGTTTGATTTCCTGTTTTTGGGCAAGCGCTTTTAGTTTGCCATTTAACAAACCGCAAGCACACATTCGTCACCTAAACTGAGGATTTGGCCAGCGGGCAGAGGGAGGAGCCGTTGGCATTTGCCTGCTTGTCGATTTCTGTTGTTGCCACTTACAAATTGGCTTCTGGCCACAAACTGCCCTCGTTTGGTCACAAGCAGCAGCAGCAGCAGCAGCAGCGCCAGCGCCAGCGCCAGCGCCAGCGCCAGCGCCAGCGCCAGCGCCAGCATCTAATAAGCCAAAAGGTCAAACAGTGTTGCCAGAGAAAGGGAATGAAAGAGAATCGTGAGTCCAGAAAACGCTGCAATTTGGTCGACAAACAAACTTTGAATGCCTGGCACGAAGGGCACATCATCATTGGGAGGAATTCATTTTTTAATTTATATGTTAATCATATCGAGCTGGCGTAGCGAACCGACTGAGCCAGCTGAGCTTCAACTGTCCACACGGTTTGATTATGAAAATGTCATGTAAACAGTCAACAAGCCTGTTTGTTGGCTAAATGAATCGAATGCTGCCAGCGAACGCCTCGAATGCAATTTAGCCAGCTCATTGTCTATTTTGATTTCCGTTCTTTAATGAGACACAAACAGCAGCAGCAACAACAACAGCAGCTACAACAACAACAGCAACAACAGCAGTAACAACAACAATCTCTGGCCCTGACAGACGCTGAGCCACGCTTTTGTGTGCGCTCTCATCAATGCGTCTAACGGTGCGTATACATAACCGAATGATAATCATTGAATTCGAAATATATTGATTCACTCGGCAAATATTATATTTAATCTAGAGCATCAAAGTCAAGCAATGCCTCCACAATTCAATGGAGCTCAATATAAAAAACAAAATTAAAAAAATTTCTTCTTCTGGTTTTTCTTTTTACTCTCTCACTCTCTCGCTCGCTCTCTCTCTCTCTCGCTTCTGGTCTGCCTCGCCTAATACCATTAGCAATGTAATTCAGTAATTTGCTTGAGCTTGTTTATTTCTTTCCGAGCTATTTATGTGTTTCACAAATAATATTGAGGCCAGGCATGCGGCAAATTGTGCACAATACTTGACAATTCTATAGGTGAAGGCGGCAAATAGAGCGCAAATCGTAATAAATAACAGACAGTGCAAATATGTACTTATATATGTATGTATGTGTGTCTGTATATATGTAGTTCCAAACAGCAATTATCTTAACTTGCGGCTTATTAACGCAGACATCATTTAAGTACAAATATATGCCGAAGCTGGCTCTGGTTGGGCACTTTCCATATTCAGATATATATATATATACATATATGTATATCTAACCAGGCTCTATGACGAGTTGCCTGTGATTGTTAAGCCTCTTTTCTTAGCCCTCCCTATCACTTGCTCTCTTTTGATATCGACTCACAATTCTTAGCAGCTTCTTTTGTAACGCTCTTTTCGTAAGAAACCTTCATGCCATCTCCTTCTCTTCTGGAACTTGGTAAACATAAAAGCGCCCTTCTATGTGATTCTGTGTGACTCTGAGTGGTGCCACAGCATAACTTTGCTTTGATCCTTTCCGTCTTAAAATTTGATGTGAGCCAGCAGGAGTAAGAGTAGCTTCCATAAGTATACTCTAGCGCTGCTAAAGTTATCGATAACGATTAGTTATCGCTTATAAAATTATTATGAAAACTTAGTAGTCCTTGGGAATACAAACATACACATAACATAGAATCTGTTCATTTCGATTCAGTTCAAAATTATGTGTACTCAAGTGAGCGAGTAAAAATTGTAGAAAAAATTTTGAAAAATTTTGAAAAATTTTTAGTAGAATTCGAGCAAATTGTATAAAAAATTACCTTTTCATATCCAAATACATGTATCCCCCAATTGCAAAGGACACAGAAAACTTTTTATAAAAACGAGTGGTTCAAATGGAAAGTACACAGAAAACGGACTTAGCCGGAGCTGTAGATGCAGTCAAACCGAGTCTAAGGCACATGGCAGGACTCCAATTTCAAGACTCATGAGGGGTAACACCTAGTTCCAGCGCTCCAAGGAGGTGGTCACAAATGGAGAATAGGAAAACTAAACATTTTGTATGAGCTGTACCAAGCTGCCTGAAGGTAAATGAATACACTCATGATGCCGAGCTGCTTGATAAGGCAATGCAGCTCGCCATAATGAGTTCAGTTCATATATCGTCAAGTGGCTGGATGGCAAAGGAAGAATCTTCTAAATTATCCAGTTGAAGTGATATGCTGATAGTGGCATAAATAAAACCAATATGAATAATGAAAATTACAAAACAGTTTTTTTTTATAATCAATTCTTTTGCAATTGCTTTTATTTGGTCTGGCATTCTGTAGGTAAGATTAACGAGTTTGAAGATTTTCTTAATTACACTCACTGTTGGCATTCTCCTCTCTCTCTCCCCCCCCTTTCATCCCCTCTTTATGCACTGACAAAGCCCCAAGCTGTGAGCCAAAGAGCTTTGCTCGTTCGCTAATCAACCTTGACTGGCAGGCAAAAATTATTTAAATGCACGTCAAGCAGAGATGAAAATGAAAATGAAATTGAAATTGAAGTTGCTCAAAAGGATGTGAAAATTGCAGTTTTACGCTTTCATTGGGGCTGAAGGCGGATGTCAGCAAGTGTTTGTGGTAAACCGTTTGAAATTAAACAAGATTCAGTGATCAAAGTTAACTTGAATCATAATAATATTCGATGTGCCTTACTCTCCCTGCCTCCCTCCCTCCCTCTCTCTCCTTTGACAATGGCAAAATGTTTGCTAAATGCCAATCGAGAATGTTGAAATTTCATTTGCATGCCATTAACTTCGAGTGTGTGTGCAGAGGACTAGGCCCGGCGCTATTTTGTCGAATAATTTCGATTGACTTCGCTCAAGTTGATTTCAATTTGTCCACCTTGAGCAGACAATGTGGGAACAATTGTTTCTGTATGTGTGTGTGTGTGTGGGTGCGTGTGAAAACTTTTAAAGTCATTTCAAATTGTCATTTTCATAGATTATATTGACGACGTAATGTCTACGCATTCATTTTCAATTTTCTCATTTCTCTGTTTTTTCTCTCTCCCTCTCTCTCTCTCTCTCTCTTTGCAGGATGAAAAGAATCAGCTGCTCATCACGAACATTTGGCTCAAATTGGTAAGTTCGAAAGTCGTTTAAACTTGAAGTATTAAACAATATGGAAAAGAAGCATTAGTCAAACCGAGTGACTCTAGCTTTGTCTGTCTCGCTCTCTCTCATCGGCGCACATATGAGTCTTGGCCAAAAGAGATTTGTTGCCATTCGAGCCATAAATTTGCCTCGGCCTAAGGCCTCAGTGCAACAAATGAAATTGCCGCAATTTGTCAAAAGCCAACAACAACAAACATAAGGAAATATATATATATACACACTGAGCAAAAAAAAAAGTGGCACTTGCCAAATTAAATGAGAGAAAGAGACATAGAGATAGAGCTAAAGAAATCACTTAATAGCTTGAGAGATGCGTAAATTGCGTAAATGCCACAAATACCAGCAGCCATGGCATTTGTTTACCCGCTCGCTTAGCTTTTCATGCGTTTTCCCGCACATTTTCCATTCGCATTTGCATTCGCAGAGCCAGCGCCACAGCCGTTCGCTAAATCCTTAGCCCACAGCTAAATCCTTTCTATCCCACGTCTTTTCGCCATGCTCATCCTGGCGAGCTGCGGGCGAGGGGTAGCGGCATGTGGCATATGGCATGTGGCAACTCAGTTGCAACAAATCAAAGGCCTTGCCACTTAATTGGCAAATCATGCGGCAACATAATTAGCCCGCAAAGTGCTGCTTTCATTCAGATATATATATATATATATCGATAATAAAGTCCGCTCGCTTTTAATGCAGTTGCGCAAATATTTTCAGCATATTTGCAATAATTGCAATTGCCCAGAACTCAAATCTTTATTAAAATCACTTCAAAGTTTGTGCAAATATTTCGTCAAATTGTGCATGAAATGAATTTGTCAAATACCCAGTAAAGTTGGGGACATACCAGGGCAGAGCAGAGCTAAGAGGAAGCTGGTGCAAATAAGCAGAAGCTGAAATAATTATGATAATATCTGGATAGCTTCGAAGGGGAGTTGTCTGTATCCATTAAAAATAATAAATCTGGCCATATTAAAATGTATATAGCAGCAGAAGAAGGTGAGGCAAACCGCAGAAGATTTCGCTCTATTCATCTTTGATCGCGTCGATCTCAAAATCCTTCAGAGTTAGAGACTTGAAATTTTTGCTATAGATTCCAGTAAAGCACATCCAGATCGAGTTTATTTCAAAAAATCGATAACTATTTTCGTTTTAGTGCTATCCACTAAAACCTTTAACAGAAAACAGCTATAAAATTATATATCTAATATATTTAGATTTACAGTGTTCTGCATATAGACGCATGTATATTTTATATTGATAATGTATCTCATATTTCTTGCCTAGGAATATTCACTGATTCATAAGTTAGATATCTGTCCAACAAATTATGTGCATTTAGGTCTTCCTATTCGACCTAGGGTAACTAACAAATCAGACATTAATTTCATATAATTAAGCATGGTTAGCACTCGTATAAAGCTTCTAATTATTGCTATTATTGGATTAAATCTATATACACACATATATAATGATATATTTATATAGATGTGTATTTGGATGGCAACACTTTCTGCTCAGACAGCACTTAAGAGTTTTGCCATCAAATTAATTATAGTGCCTTTGGACTTAGAGCGTCTGGGGCTTACTGGGCGACGTGTCCGGCCGTTCCGCTTTCGAGGGCAATCAGAGAAGCGTTTACGTATGTTTGAATGATTAATATTTGTAATTATGCGATAGGTAAATGGATGGCAATTGCTTCTTGTATTGATTAATCGCAGCGATCAAATGCAAACACGACAATTTCTGCACATTAGCAATGGCCAGCAAATCGATGCGCTAATCGCCTTAAGCGTCACAAAAGCAACAAATTTAATTACGATAACGGGCCATGCGCCAAAGAGTATACCAGAGCACACCAATACACACACCAACAGCCACACACTCTCTCACTCAGGCGCAGCCATAAATGCGCACTTAACGATGATTGATGATTAACACACCTTCCTGCCATTGCATATGGCCGATCAATGGGACGAGGTGTGTGCGTGCATATATATATGTGTGAGTGTGTGTGTGTGTGTGAGGGTATTAGAGACTGTGCTGTGTGTAATTGCCTGTGTGTGTGCCTGTGGTCACGGCTAATTGATATTTTGGTTGATTAAAAACTCACGGAATACGCTCCAGCATTGAACAACGCATTTGATGCGGTGCTAAGTACCGTTTGGAATTACAGTTTGAAAACTGCATTTGATTGAGGAAGGCTTTCACCATATCATACTCAATTACCTCTGCCGTTTTCTAGTCTTGTTAACATGATTTTGTTGTGTTACTCTGTCGGTCAATCAATCAATCTGCCWCTCAATCACTGCATCAAGCATTGTGTCTGTTAGTCTAACAATCAATCAATTATTTAGACAGACATCAATCAGCTTGTACATTAGTCGATTTGCATATTGGTTAGTTTCTCAATCATTCAATCAGTCTGTTATCAATTCAATCCATCAAATTATTTATCAAGCACTCAATCATTATATTTGTTTATATATTATCCAGTCAGTTAGTCAATCTGTCAAATTGTTAGATGTCAATCAGTTGGTAATTCAATTAAAAAGTTCAWCAGTCTGTCAAGCAGTTAGTCAATCACTTACGACATAAGTCAATCATTCAGTCTGCCAATCAAATCAATCAGCTGATCTCTAAGTCGTTTAATCAAATATTATTTCATTGACTCGTTCAATCAGTAAGCTAGTAACCCAATCCAACCCTGTAAATCTTGCAGTCAATCTTCATCAATCATTTTTTCTTATTGGATATGGGACAGGATGTTTTGTCATGTTAGATCAATCGGTTACATATTGCCTCTAGCTGGCAGTAGCTCAATCTGTAAATGATTCAGGTCATCAATCAAACCTCTATTTCAAGATGACTCAATCAAACATTTTGTCTCTTATTCATTTCATCGTTCAGCCTTTCAGTCAAGCAAACTTTTATTCACTTTTATTCAATTAGTCCACCCTTTTTTTAGAAGTTGAATCAATCACATGTATATGGAATTCCATTATACTTACCTTGGCACAATCGTATTATCGCTTTAAATTGAAGTCTCGTAAAAAATCAAAATGAAAAACCCATTTGGTTAGCATAAACAATTTGCATCGTAAAATCGTTTCGTTTCGCTTCGTTTTGTATTTGCTTTGGTTATTTCACAAATGGACTCTAATTAATTAAGTCGGACGTCAGTGACAGAAATCCTTTTGTTGCTTGGCATTATGACCCGCTCTCGCTCCACCCACTTCTAAAGTAAACAAAAGGCCGCACATCAATTTACTATCTCAATGCATTAACATTTTCCTTTTTCTCTTTATTTTTTTGTTTCTCTATTTTATAGGAATGGAACGATATGAATTTGCGTTGGAATTCCAGTGAGTTTGGAGGTGTAAGAGATTTACGTATACCGCCCCATCGATTGTGGAAACCCGATGTGCTTATGTACAATAGGTGAGTGCAAAGTATCTACTACGCAATCTATTTGCATTATTGAAATACTGAGTGAAACAAATAAAAATAAATAATTAAATAA